TAAAGGAAGAAAGAGAACTTCCCCTGTTATGATCATCTATGTAGAAAAACCTAAGTTACCCAAGACAAAAAAAAAAATAAAACCCTTTAATAAATGAGCACAGCAAGGACGAAGAATTGAAATAAACACACAGCAACCAATGTCATTTCTATATACAGTATTAGTAATAAATATGTGGACAATGAAATTTAAAATACTGTTATAATCACCCTCAAAAAAAAGAAATACTTAAGTATAAATTTAAGACAAGGCACATAGGACTTGTACACTGAAAACTACAAACACTGGTAACATATCAAAGATCTAGAGACACACAGACAATATTCATCGATTAAAAGACTTAACATAGTGAAAAAGTCAACCACCCCAAAAAAATACAGCTTAAATACAATTCCTATTAAAATCTTAGCAAGACTTTTTTGTATACATATACACAAAATTACTCTAAATTTATATGAAAAGACAAAGGAAAAAGAATAGCTAAAGCAATTTTAAAAGAGAATAAAGGAGGAAGAACAATCTAATTAATTTCAAGGTATTATATAATTATAATAGTCAAGACTACATGACATTGGCAGAATGACAGACATATAAAGTGAACCCAGAAATAGATATGCCCAACTAATTTTTGATGAAGAGGTAAAAGCAATTCAATGGAGGAAAGATGCCTTTTCAACAAATGATGCTCAAATAAGTGGACATTAAAAGGCAAAAAAAGGGACCAGCAGTTAGCGTAATGGCTATGTTGCTGGACTCCCACGTAGTCGACTGCGGTTCAAGTCCCGGATCCGGTGGCTTAAACTCACACCGGGCGCGTGTGCGTGCGTGCCTAAGATCCCGAGAGGAGAATGGAGGAGAAGGGATTGCGGTGTGGCCATCCCCCCTGGGGGGTGATTTCTCGCTTTCTATCTCTCTGTCTCTCTCTGTCTGTCTGGCAAGTGCACAAGCCCTATAGCAAAAAAAAAAAAAAAAAACCTTAACTTAAATATCACACCTATGTTAAAAAACAAAACAATATTAAATACATGACCAGCCATGTAGTCTGGTGGTTAAGTGAACAGGATTCCACATAGTTGACTGCATGTTTCAAATTCGAGCCCCAGTGGCTTAAAAACCATGTCTAGCATGTGTGAGTGACCAAACCAATAGGATGGAGAGAGGGAAGGGACAAAATTGTGGCATGACAGCACTCCATTGAGGGGTGCTTTAAATCTCTCCCTTTATCTTCCTCAGGTACCCTTGGGCAAATACTAGGGCCAGCAGGTGGCAGGGTAGTTAAGGCACTGGATTCCCACATGGCTGAATGAGGCCTGGTGCTTGGGAATCATGCCAAGTGTGTGTGCATGTGTGCCCAAAATCCCAAGAGGAGTATGGTGAAGAAGGGACTGCAATAAGGCCGGCCCCTGTGGGGGATGATTTCTCACTTCCCCTCTGTGTATCTCCAGCAAGTGCATATGCCCTATAGCAAAAAAAAAAAAAAAGCAAACAAAAAACAGAAAAGCGAACCAGCAGATGGTATAATGGATACATCACTGGACTCCCACATGGCTGACCACAGTTCAAGTACCAAACCCAGTGGCTTGAAACTCACTCTAGCCATGTGTGCATACATGCCCAAAATCCTGAGAGGAGAATGGAGTAGGAATTACAGCATGGCCAACCCCCCGGGGAGGTGATTTCTCACTGTCCATCTCTCTCTGTCTCTCCAGCGAACACATATGCTTTACAGAAAAATCTCTCTTAAAAAAAAAAAGAAAAACTTGAGAAAAGATTATGAACTTCAACATAAAATGTAAAACTTTGAGGAAATCTTTAGCATGTAAGTCTATGCAAAAGTTCTCAGACATAACACAAAAATCATACACCATGATATAATAGGAAAAGTTAACAAGCTGAGCTTCATCAAAACTAAAAACCTGGGGCCAGCAGGCGGTGGCTTGGTGGTTAAGGGTGCTAGTCTCCCACATGGCTGACCATGGTTCAAGTCCTGGACTTGGAGGCTCGCTCGCTCTCTCCCCCCCCCCCCCCCCCCCCGTCAAATTAAAATAAAGAAAGTTCAATAAGATAATATTTTTAAAAAAGAAACAACTTTTGCTTGAGGGGTAATCCTGTTAAAAGAATGAAAAGACAAACTACAGACTGAGAAAAAATAGGTCCAAACCACATACTCAAAAAAGGATTTGTAGGGGCCAGCAGGCGCTGGACTCCCACATGGCCACTGGGAGTCCAGTTCAAGTCCCGGAGCTGGTAGCTTCCTTTCTCACTTTTCCCCTCCTTTCCCTCCAACCTTGATCTCTCTCTCTCTGGTGAGCACATGTGCCTCATAGCCAATTAAAATAATAATAACAATAATAAATAAAATTAAATAATTATTTTTAAAAGTATTTGCATCTATATTAATCAAAGAAACTTAAAAAAAACCCTCAACAGTAAAAAATAAAATAATCCAATTAGAAAATAGGCAAAAAATATGAAGAAACATTCCACTTAAGAGGATACATACAAGGACCAGTAGATGGTACAATGGCTATGTTGCTGGACTCTCATGTAGTCGACCACAGTTCGAGTCCTGAACCTGATGGCTTAAATTCATGCCAGCGCATGTGCATTCATGCCCAAGATACCAAGAGGAGAATAGAGGAGAATGGAGGAGAAGGGACTGTGACGTGGCCATCCCCCCTGGGGGGTGATTTCTTGCTTTCTGTCTCTCAGTCTGTCTTTCTGGCGAGTGCACATGCCCTATAGCAAAAACTTCTCCAAAAAAATAAATTAAAAAAATAAAAAATAAAAAATGAAGGAGGGGACCAGCAAGTGGCGTGGTGGTGAAGGCGCTGGACACTCCCACATGGCCGACTGTGGTTCGAATACTGGACCTGGTGGCTTGCTTTCTCACTTTCCCTCTCTCTCTCTGTGTATCTTTCTCTGGTCAAATTAAAAAAATAAATGAATGACAAAAATGAATAAATAAAAAAATAAAGGATACATACAGATGGCAGTAAATAACAAGAAAAAATGTTCAACTTCATTAGCCTTTAAGGAAGTGCAAATTAAAATCAATGATATATCACTACGAAACAACCTGTCAGAATGCCTTTTTAAAAGTACTGATTATATCGAATATTGCAAAAAATACAGAGAAACTGGATCACTCTTAACTGCCAGTAGGAATGTAAAACTATAGATACATAACAGTGTCTAAATTGCACATGCCAAAATTCCTGTGTTGATGCCCCAAACCCCAGTACCTCAAGATGTAACCATTTTTGGAGTTGAGATCTTTAAAAAGGTGATCAAATTAAACCCAAGTTGGAGACGTGACATTATGACATATACATTTTGCTTTTCATTCACTGTTCCTGGCTCACAACTCCTTTAAGCTGGGTTATTTCCTAAGTGACTACAGCAATAAGGATATCTTTACTAAAGTATCAAGGCTCCTGTCCTTGGTTCCTGAAGCAACTCCGAAACAGCTCTGAGTCAAAGCAAAAAAGGTGAGAGATGTTCATTATTTATAATGAACACTTTTCGAAAGCACCTGAGTTTATGTTAATGAGGCAAATTTTGAAAAGTCTCAAGATAACCACAGGATGGGAAGGGGGACTGGTTGCCAGGGGAACCAACTAAATGCTCAGAGGATTGGAGATTTCGGTCCCACTCCCCAAGGGAAGAGGGGTTGAAGGCTGAGGTCGAATGCCAATGGCTGGTGGTTTACTCAATCATGCCCACACGATGAAGTTTTCATAAAACCGGGTGTAAGGAGCTCCAGATAGCTGAACATATGGAGGTTTGCGGGAAGGTAAACAAGGACATATTCACATGCAGAAGGCAGACCGTGTCAGAATGTGAGTCAGGGGACACCAGCTGGTGTCAGCTGCGAAACAGACTCCTTGCCTGCTGGTAAGGAGAAATCCCCACACCTCTCAGGTCACAGGAGGTTCTGCCTGACTGTGCTGAGAGCAGAGGAAAAACTGACTTTCCCCACATACACACTCTAATCCAATATGGCCCGTGTCATCATAAGAGGAGAAAGCCACTGCACAGAGTAAAGGTCACGTGAGGACGTGGTGAGAAGGTAGCCATCTGCAAGCTAAGGAGAGAGGGTATATTTCAGGAGAAACCAAACTGCTGACACCTCAATCTTTGAATTCCAGCCTCTTGAACTATGAGAAAACCAGCTCGCAATGCCTCACCCTGCCACACTGTAGAATTTTTTACGGCCGTCCTAGTAAACTAATACGGAACCCTCTAAGAGAGTCTGGCAATTTCTGTAAAGATGCGGAACTACCATTCAACCCAGCAACTACGCTCCCTGAGCATTTAACCCAGAGAAATGAAGCTGGATGTTCACAAAAAAACGGATCACAAATGTTCATACAGCAGCTTTGTGTGCAATAACCAAAACCTGGAAACAAACCAGAGGTCCTTTCACAGCTGGATGGCTAATTCCAGACTACTATCACTCTGCAACAAAAAGGAATACATTACAACAGATTTAACAACCTGAACGAATTTTCTAAAGTATTTTGCTGAGTGAAAAAAGCCAATCCCCAAGGCTGTATGATTCCACTTGTATAACATTCCTGAGATGACAAAATTATAGAAACAAAGAACAGACTAGAAGCTGGCAGGAGTTAAGGGAGGATAAGGGTGGAAGAGAAGTGGGTGTGATCCACAAAGTGGATCTCTGTGGTGACAGCATGGTGTGCATCTTGCCTGTATGACCTCAGTACTCCGACTGTGGTATTGTACTACAGTTCTCTAACACATTACCACTGGGAGAAACAGGTGGGATTTCTGACAACTACATGCAGATCAGTTGTTACTATCTCAAAATAGTTTCAAAAAACAGGAAAAAATCCAAACACACATCCAGTTTTTAGAAAAGCCTATTACAGGCACAGGCCCCCCCCACCCTCCCCACCGGCCCCCCAAACGCCCATACAGCTATGATGGGAAAGGGTCTGTGTTTGGAGCCAGCATCACAAGGCCGATCCACTTACCTGCTTCACTTTGACCGTTGAATGATGAGGACTTCGACTTCTCTTACTCCGAGGGGACTTGCTTCTTCTCCCTGAGGACTTGTTTTTCTTTTTGGCTGGGGACCTTTTCAGAGCATGGTACACACAGGATTTTATCTCAATTTCCCTTCCCCTATGTAAATCAGCTTCAACAGCCAGCCTACTACCGCTATGGCAAACTGCACGTTGTGAAGGTCTCTGATCACACCAGGACAGTCGGGAGCTCAGCTCTAACATCTCCCAGAGATTCCAGTCCCGTGTGTCTACAGAACCTTCTCAGTGAAACAACTTTCTAACCTAACTTGATTCCCACCCCCTCAAAAACTCTTCCTGTCCCAGTCTGCGATCGTGCTAACTGGCACCACCATCCCAAGTCACCCATGAATCTTCTCCCCACCAACAGCCCCTACCCAACAATCACATTGGATCCATGCAGCAAGTCCTGAGGCTGTCTTCTGCCCACCCCGCCTCATTCCTTCCTGCCACCTGTCCTTCTTGATCATACACGCCAACTGCGCTGGCTTTTTCTCAGTTTCTAGAACAATCACCATTAAGTCTACTTCAGGATTTTGCATGTGTTATTTCCTCTACACGGGACACCTTCTCAGAGAGGTCTTCTCCCACTCCCCTCCAACCTCTAGCACATTACCGTCTTACTTAACTACCTCTAATACTTGTTACTATCTGAAACTATTTTATTTCTCGTTATCGTCTGTCTTGGGGCTAGCGCAAGCCCAATTTCGGAGAGTAAAGAGCATCTATCTGTCCACGCTTGCGGCCCCAAGATCAAGGACTGTCTTTAGCAGTTAACGAGAACTACTAAAACTATGCTGAACGAATAAAAACAAACGAGTATAGCAAAAAAGCCAATTTTCTTTTCTTGTTTTCCTCGGGTAAACCGATGTGGAAACCATCTGGGGGCAGGTAATGTGCCCCGCACACGGTTGGGCAGGCGAGGCAACTCTTTCTTCAACCCAACAGTGGCTGGCTGCCAAGTGCTGGGGACACCGCAGAAGGGGCAGGACCCCGCCGGGCAGGCAGCGGCACTGCACGCCGAGCCCAGGCGGGCAGGAGTAACCGTTCTGGCCGCCCCCGCCCCGGGACCTCACCGGGCGGCTGAGCCCGGCGGCCACGCCTGGGGCTGACGCCGGCCCGTCCTCCCTCCCCCAGCAGCCCCTCCCAGGCTCGCCGCCGCCGCGCCCCACCCTCCG